CCTTTTACAGGCTCTCGGCCACATTTATCATTGTTAATATAGTGGAGGGCGACAAAACTTTGGATCTACATTCAAGAAAAAAATAATAATATACTGTTCAGTTGTTTGCAGTCTTACACGTCTAACTGTTATCAGTTACTTTTTACATCTACTCTTGGGCAGTACGTGTGTATTTACCCCAGTGAGAAGGCTGGCTCTCTCTCTGGGCCAGGTCTAGGGTAAATACACACGTTCTGTACACGACAGACTGGGGACAAACGCACTGTCCCCCCCCCACCCCCCTCTCTCTCTCTTAAACTATAAAATTGTATCAAGTTATTATATTTTTTCATTAATTTCACTTTTTTTTTTAGGTTAACAAATTTTTGGGCAAAGCTTGGAGTACAGTTTGCGTATTCTGAGTAATTCAGTCAGCTCTTGACACTGAAAGTGGTATCACTTCTCATTGCCACGCAGGACAGAGGTTCATACACAAATGAATAGATCATATTCATTAACAGTATATATATATATATATATATATATATATATATATATATATATATATATATATATATATATATATATATATATATATATATATATATATATATATATATATATATATATATATATATTCACTCTTACAAAGATTCCCAAATGACAATAAAACAAAAGATATAAACCCTGGGCTCCATAATATGGATCCGTGCCAACTACAGGTTGGGGACCACTGGGCTTACTCTTAACACCACCCTTTCTTTTCCCTCATCTTTCCTCCCGCTACCTTTTACTCCCTCCCTTCCCCCACATCCCTTCCTCAACCTTACTCTTCCTTCTTTTCACCTTCTCTCTCTCCCTCCCTTCACTTACCCTCATCCCCCTCACCTCCCTTTCTTCCCACTCACCATCCTTCCTACTCCTTCTCTCGTTCCTGTCCCCTCTCCACCCACCGTTCATCCCATTTGCCTTCCTCCCTCCCCTTCCTTTTACCTCTCCTCCTCCCCACTCGACATCTTTTATCACAGTTAAAAATAATAAACTTGGGTTATATCGTTGTATTTTTATCCCGACAAAGAAAGGAAGGTGTGGGTGAAGTGGAGTATCAGTGGAACATACAAGGAACCCCAGTTACCTCACAGCAGGAAATCCCCTGCCCTGCCCTGCCCTGCCCTGCCCTACCCTGCCTGCCCTGCCCTCCTCCCTCCCCTCCCCTCCCCTCCTCCTCCCTCCCTCCCCTCCCCTCTCCTCCCCTCCTCTGCCCTCCCCTGCCCCTCCCCTCCCTGCCCCTGCCCTCCCCCTCCCCTCCCCTCCCCTGCCCTGCCTTGCCTTGCCCTGCCCTGCCCCCCGCCCTGCCCTGCCCCTGTGAGTGAGTGCCCCTTCCCACACCCCAGCCTAAGGTATTCTCTCTCCAGCCATAGTCCTTGCGTACATCTTTCTCTTGAGTTAGCACTAGTTGTAACCAAGAACTCTCTCTCTCTACTCTCCTCGTATCTCCTCCTGTTGTTTCTGCTAGTTGTTCCGGGTAGGAGGGGTTGTGGTCTTGACTTTAATCCAGAATATTTTTTGGGTATTAATTTTTGGGGGAGGGTTTTCCTTCATGTTATTCTATCACTAAGTATATTTGATAGCAATGGTAAATATTGTCATTGTTTCAACTTGCGATTGTCACTTGATTTATATAACCTTCCTTGGAGAAATAACAGTTGGGAGAGGTTAGGTTAGGTGGCCGTTAATCTTCAGGTGGAATAAGGTGGGCGGTGAACCTTCCTGTAGGCTCCTGCAGGTGGTGTCTCCGCCCCACACATACTCTACTACAGTCCGTCGGTTCGGGTTTTGTTCACATACTGTACAGCGGAAAGTTTTTCTGTTAACGAATGAACAGTTAATTTTTGGTGAGGGGAAAAAAAAACACCTGATTGTACTTGAAACTACGTGTGCCGTGGTTCATGGTTCTGTGATATATTTTTTTCAACACGTTATCGCTGTTTTTCGTGAGGGTTTTTTAACATGATAATTAAAGAATCTTGAAAACGTCAACTTTGTATATGCAGTGAATTCAAGTTTTAGTAGAGGAATTCAAAACATTTAGGGGGAGGAATTCAAAAATATTGTACTGGTATAAATGCAAAGATTATAGTATGTTCTACAGCAGTAATTGATTATACTGGAATAAATAATTGTGATAAAACTGCGAGAAAAGTAAAATTTGATAAAAGTTGGTGTACAGTATACCCATTAGGAGTGTAATAAGGGCTTATGTTTATGAGAGCCTTAGGAGAGGTCCACGTTTTGCCCGGGAGAGGGAGGGGGGGCGGGGGTGATGGCGTGTTTACCCTAGTGAGCTGCAGGGAGAGTCGGCGGAGTGTTTGAGGCATTAAGTGAGAATAAATACGTGTTTGTAAGTGTGAGTGTTTGTGAGAACTCGTGTTGACGTATGTAAGTTCTTGGGTATGTGTGTTTGTCAATTTGGGTTTTACAGGGTGTGTTAATAGATGTATGTTTACTTAAGAGTGTGTGTGTGTGTGTGTACGATATCATTGTAAGTGAGGGTTTTCGTGTTATGTTTGTATGTGCTCGCGTGTGCAGGTTGAGTTCACTGTAAAAACAACTCGAGAAAACATGCTGTTCTTTTTTTTCTTTTCTTTTTTTCCCACAGCTAAAAATTAAACGTTCATCATCAGTAAATATAGTCGTTGGGTTTCTGTTTGTTCTAGTCTTGTATCTCTTTAAAATCTATACCGTGAACATAACGTATCCCAATGACATGTGAATTACCAGCTTATGGAAAAAAAAGGTCGAATCTAACCTTTAACTTTATGGCAAAACCTGAAAAAAAAAAAAACATGGGGAAGGGGGGGGGAAGTGGTGGTAGTTTAGATGAATATAAATACAATATAATTAAGGATCTGTTAAATTCGTGGATGTATCGTAAACAGACACGTTCTGGTGCAAGTATCATTCGTCCATTAAAACCTCTGTGTGTTTACGCCAAATTATACAGAATCTCCCCAGAAAAAAATCTAATAACGCGAAGTTGGAAAAAAAAAAAAAGTTGAAATACTCGAAAAGGCGACTGGTTGTATGACATGGGCGACAGCTGACATTGACGTAGACAGTGGACCCGGGTACGATAGACAGCGTGTGACAGGAGAGAGACAGTAGGAGGCCAACGCGAGACAGGAGAGAAAACACTGAGAGATAAAGAATATTGAGAACAGGTGGTGTGGTGGAATAGAAGATAAAGGCTGGAGATAGGAATAGGGCCAATAGGAGACAGGAGGTAGGAAGCAAAAGAAAGACAGGAATAAGCAAGAGAAAGTAGGAAGGAGAGACTAAGAGACGACAATAGGCACCAGTCGACAGGAAGAGAAGGAAGAAGGAAGATGCAACAGAAAAAAGAAGACGGAAGAGAGACATTAATGGACAACAGAAAATAAACTGTAGAGGTAACGTAAAGCCGGGAGACAAAATATTGAGATAAAAAAGGGAAGGGGGAAAAATAGGAGACAAGAAGAAAAATGGATGACAAAGGTGACGATGCAGGAATAACAGGAAACAAGAAAAACACGATACAGGAAATAGCAAACTGACGAAAAAAGGCAAGAAACAGAAGAAAGGAAGGAAAAGACGATAAATATGGAACAGGGAAAAAATCGGAAGACGGTGAATACAGTAGACGAGAAAATGACAGACGGAGGAAAAAACAAGGAGTGTTGGAATAAATCATTGTAGACATAGAAGAAAGTAGAGGGAAGAGTAGAAAAAAAAACAAATACACAAGAACAAGGGAATAATGGAAGTAGAGGCAAAGAGAAAGAGAGGTGAATATGGTGGTGGAGAAGCACGGGGCCAGGTATGCCAGACAATTTCCCACGGGTGGCCAGGGCCCTACTTGGTGAGGAGGTAATGTTGGTCAGGGCCACCCCTCACCCCCCTCCCTCCTCCCCCCCAACCTTCCTCGCCCACCGGAGGACCACCATTTTTACGGCGTCGTATGCTTGCAAAGTCGTGTCCCTCGTTACTCTTGAAGGGGGGTGGGACTGTATAAGGTGCTGTGGTAGATGGCTAGTGGGGGAAAGGGGAGATGGTTTTTGGTCTCTCGGTTAGGTTAGGGTTGGTGTTCAGTCATTAAAGGGCTGCTTCTAGTCCACAGTTACAAGTTTTAGGTGGGTGTGGCGTCAAGTCATTTGTGTGTGGCTCACGTCAACAGCAGGTGTAACCATTTAAAAAAAAAACTAGTCCGTAATGACCCTACACCTGTAAGTTGTTGTGGGTGTAACATTTACTCTTTACTTGATGGTGTGGGTGTTTCATTACTCACTGATGGGCCACACACTTGTCACTTGTTGGGTGTAACATCCATCACACTTGCATCATGACGGTATGACGGCTGATCATTGAGGGGGACATGGCTGGGATGCGCCTCTTAACATTTGGTTGTGTGTGTGTGTGTGTGTAGAGTAACTTGATATGCCCGCGTGTACAGTATATATAACTCTCTTCGTTAGCTTGTATAGTAAGTGTCATGCATTCTTGTTAAACTGTCGGATGTCATGTGAAACTGCAGTATCTTATGTTGAACTGTTGCATACCCGTGTTGAACTGTTGCATACCCGTGTTAAAATGTTCCCTCCCCGTGTTGAACTGTTGCATCCCCAGTGTACGGTTGTATGTCTTAGCCCATACGTCAGTTTATATTGAATAAATATCTCTCCTGCGTTTCATGTCACCTGCTATATTAATTTGTCTCTGAATTATGTTATCAGTACCTCACCAGATGACTGTTTTGGCCTAGGGGGTACGGTCTCATAAACTAAGGTGTGAAAGACTGAACACTGAGGAGTAGTTGGGGACATTAAGGTGTTTTTCAATACTTTTTAGCTTTTTGTTTACATCTTAGAATATAGTTTTCCACAGCTACATAAATATCCACATTATGTTGGTGAAAATGTTTGTGATGGTGTCAAGCTGTGAGTTATGCGTCTCAGTAAGATTTTGTTTCCGTCTCGTCCCTACAGTAAAGCCAGTCGTACAGCGAGTGAAGGCCCTCCGACTGTCCTGGAAGACTTCGAGGTGGTCAAGGTAATAGGGCGAGGGGCGTTCGGCGAGGTGTGCGTCGTCAAACTCAAGGGAACTGACCGAGTCTTCGCCATGAAGATCCTCAACAAGTGGGAGATGCTCAAGAGGTCAGTCAGTTTGCACTTCACCTCACCCTTGACCTCCTGACCTTGTGCCTCCCTGACCCTAGTCTCCTCTGCCCTGTAACCCCCCCCCCTGACTCTTTGCCTCCCTGTACCTCCCTCACCCTGCACCTCCTCACCTGTCCCTCCCCACCCTGTCCCTCCCTCACCCCTGCACCTCCCTCACCCCTGCACCTCCCCACCCTCCTGCACCTCCCTCACCCTGCACCTCCCCACCCTGTCCCTCCCTCACCCTGTCCCTCCCTCACCCTGCACCTCCCCACCCTGCACCTCCCTCAACCTGCACCTCCCTCACCCTGCACCTCCCCACCCCACCCCTCACCCTGCACCTCCCTCACCCTGTCCCTCCCTCACCCCTGTCCCTCCCTCACCCTGTCCCTCCCTCACCCTGTCCCTCCTCACCCTGCACCTCCCCACCCTGCACCTCCCTCACCCTGCACCTCCCCACCCCACCTCCCCTCAACCTGTCCTCCCTACCCTGTCCCTCCCTCACCCTGTCCCTCCCTCACCCTGTCCCTCCCTCACCCCTGTCCCTCCTCACCCTGTCCCTCCCCACCCTGTCCCTCCCCACCCTGCCCTCCCTCACCCTGCCCCTCCCTCACCCTGCCCCTCCCTCACCCTGTCCTCCCTCACCCCTGCACCTCCCTCACCCTGCACCTCCCTCACCCTGCACCTCCCTCACCCTGCACCTCCCCCACCCTGCACCTCCCCACCCTGCACCTCCCTCACCCTGTACCTCCCCCACCCTGTACCTCCCTCACCCTGTCCTCCCCTCACCTCTGTCCCTCCCACCCTGCACCTCCCTCACCCTGTCCCTCCCTCACCCTGCCACTCCCTCACCCCTGTCCCTCCCTCACCCTGTCCCTCCCTCACCCTGCACCTCCCCACCCTGCACCTCCCCACCCCTGTACCTCCCTCACCCTGTCCCTCCTCACCCTGTCCCTCCCCTCACCCTCTGTCCCTCCCCACCCTGTCCCTCCCTCACCCTGTCCCTCCCTCACCCTGTACCTCCCTCACCCTGTCCCTCCCTCACCCCTGCACCTCCCTCACCCTGTCCCTCCCTCACCCTGCCCCCTCCTCACCCCTGCCCCTCCTCACCCTGCCCCTCCCCACCCCTGTCCCTCCCTCACCCTGTACCTTCCTCACCCTGTCCCTCCCTCACCCTGTCCCTCCCTCACCCTGTCCCTCCCCACCCTGCACCTCCCTCACCCTGTCCCTCCCTCACCCTGCCCCTCCCTCACCCCAACCTCCCTCACCCTGCACCCCTCACCCTGCACCTCCCCACCCTGCACCTCCCCACCCTGCACCTCCCCACCCTGCACCTCCCCACCCTGTCCCTCCTCACCCTGTCCCTCCTCACCTTGTCCCTCCCTCACCCTGTCCCTCCCTCACCCTGTCCCTCCCTCACCCTGCACCTCCCCACCCTGCACCTCCCTCACCCTGCACCTCCTCACCCTGCACTCCCCACCCTGTACCTCCCTCACCCTGTACCTCCCCACCCTGCACCTCCCTCACCCTGTACCTCCCTCACCCTGTCCTCCCTCACCCTGCACCTCCCCCACCCTGTCCCTCCCCTCACCCTGTACCTCCCCCACCCTGTACCTCCCTCACCCTGTACCTCCCTCACCCTGTTCCTCCCTCACCCTGTACCTCCCTCACTCCCTGATTCTTTTCCCTCCTCGACACCCATACTCTGACCCCCTCTCTCTTGTATTACTATTTGCTGACCTTCTTTTGTCTCTGCTACTCATTCCAGTCCTCATCTGACATAAGTACAGGTCACACATGCACATTTGGTCTCCCTGATACTTGACATTCCTTCTTCTTCCTGGTTACCCTTCCATTTCCTAGTTCCCCTTTCTTTACTACCCCCCTATCCTTGTCTTTCCCTGTCCTGCTCTCATTAGTTTTCGCTGACCTGACCTTTCGTGACCTACCCTGCCCATCCCTTTTTCTCCACCCATCCCTGACCCTCCCTACTCAACCCTGACCCTCTCTACCTTTCCTGACCTCCTACCCATCCTTGACCTCATTACCCATCCCTGACCTCCTAACCATTTCCTGACCCTTCCTGACCCTTCCTACCCATCCTTTACTCACCCTCCCTACCCATCCCTGACCCACCCTACCCATCCCTAACCCTCCCTACCCATCGCTGACCCACCCTACCCATCCCTAACCCTCCCTACCCATCCCTACCCATCCCTAACCCCTACCCATCCCTAACCCTCCCTACCCATCGCTGACCCACCCTACCCATCCCAACCTCCCTACCCATTCCTGACCCACCCTACCCTTTCCCACCCTACCCATTCCCTAACCCTCCTTACCCATCCCTGACCCACCCTACCCATCCCTGACCCACCCTACCCGTCCCTGACCCACCCTACCCGTCCCTGACCCCACCGTCCCTGACCTCCCACCCATCCCTAACCCTCCCTACCCATCCCTGACCCACCCTACCCATCCTGACCCACCCTACCTGTCCCTGACCCACCTACCCGTCCCTGACTCCCTACCCATCCCTAACCTCCCTACCCGTCCCTGACCTCCCTACCCATCAGCAACCTCCACTGTGTCTCACTTCATTCTTGTCGCCCCCACAGCACTAAACGCTAGGTGAGTCTCACTCTCTTGACAACACTGACGTTTGTATAATCATGTCAGCAGTGATTATGGTGAAAACTGATTCTGGATTTTGTGAATTTTCAAAGTAATCAAAGAGTATTTCCCAGGGCACAAAATACTGTACAGTTAACTCGCCGTTAATCGAAATTATTGGTGTGTAGCCAGTCTGAGTCTGATTACTGTAAGAGAATTCTGGTTACTTTTGTAGTTCTCTGGATTTTATTAATGCAGCTGTCAGAAAATATGCTGTACCCAAGATTGCAGTCCACCAGGGCCCTAGTTCTGTAATACTAAATTGTAATGGAAAATGAAAGATTGATCTTTAATCTTATTGTGCCAGTAAATTTACAGCCTATTAGGACAAGAGCCCAATTCATTTCACACCTTGAGTCTTAATGGGTTGCGGTGACCTTAAGTCGTGAATCTTAATGATCACATTCATAGATGATATACAGTATTTTACTAAATATTATCAAAATCAATCAATCATGTGGAAGTTTCTTGGTCTGTCCTTTCTGGTCAGATATGGTTTGGCTTATCTAGATTTCCAGTTTAGTGGCCAGTTGATTGGGTGTGTAATATTATTATTATAGTTGGACTGTGCAGTGTATATGCTGATCAAGTGATCAGCTTCATATTATATTTGTTGTTTAGTCCATTTTGGCTTCTTTTCTTGTGGGACATTCTGCGCCAGACGTGTTCTGTACAGTTACAGTATATGTCAACACATTCTGTACACTCTAGGCATCATCTCTAACTAAAAGAGAACTTATTTACATACTTGTTTCCAAAATACATTATTAAATCCTGTATTCGATGTATTATAGTCAAAGCTGTATTTTCATTATCCAGAGCGGAGACTGCGTGTTTTCATGAGGAACGTGACGTACTGGTGTATGGAGATCGTCGGTGGATAACTAATCTGCATTATGCCTTTCAAGACGATAGTAACCTGGTAAGTTGAATAATAAGAATATTTACTTGAAAAACAGAACAAAATTAAGAATAATATTTACTGTGTAAAGAAAAAATTTGTGAAAAGCTTGAAACACTTCTGTACTAACTTGCCAACAGTGCGTAACAGACGTGATCGATCGCCCAAGCGGCTAATGGCTCGATCAGTGGTGAAGAGGTTAAAACAAAACAAAACAATTAATAGTGGACAATGTCTTCTAATTACTTCTATGGCTATATTTTTTTGTATTGAATTATTGATATTCTGATGTATTTCCTTGAGAATTTTTTTTAATTAGTAATTATGGAAAAAAGGCGATGGTTTATCAGACATAACCACTATAGTACACAGTACAGTATTTGTCTTTTTCATGAAGAGTACTGTACTAAACTATTCATTATTTAGATCATTGTCCTGAAGTTGTTATTTTACGTTGTATGATCATAGGTTAGTTATAATTGTGTAAAAATTTGTGCATTTCAGTACCTGGTGATGGATTACTATTGTGGAGGGGACTTGCTCACATTACTAAGTAAATTTGAGGACAGACTCCCTGAGGATATGGCTCGCTTCTATATTGCTGAAATGATTCTTGCCATTGGTGAGTGTTGCTTGATTGTTTATTTATTGAATGGATTGTCCAGTATGTCATAAGATTAAAGTTTTCTGGTAGTAGTATAGTACAGTAGTAAAAGAAGAGTGTGAGTGTATTATATCATGCATCAGGAAATACTAGCATGAGGATGATTCACTGAAGAGTCTCTGAAATATGATAGAAGTAGATGTAGAGTTGGTAGTAGATAATATCTATGTTCCTTAGAATTATATTATATAGGGAACATAGTGTTTGGACAATAAATAATTTATAAACAAATAGTTGTAAGTTCAGCTACCACACATAACATTACTTAACTACAGTATATACTCTACAGTACCTGGCTGAAAGGGATCCAAAATTTCGTCGTTAATAGTCATTTTCATTCTTGCTGTCCTTTAAAAATAATATTTGCACTGACTTCGTTAATGTTCACTTGCTATATTATTGTCTGTCCAGCTGAAACTTGTGGAGAACCTTTTCAATTTAGTCAATTATTCAACTACATGCATTCAAATATTTCCTTTCCTTTTATTTAAAACATTAAATTTCTTTTCAATGGGGTGTGGGAACCAAGTGAATACTGTATAGCCAAGGCTTGAATTAAAAGGGTATGACATCTTCCTTGTTAACTCACATTCAAATAATTTTTGTATTAAGGTTATAATGTACTGTATATCTTTTCTTCAAACTGTAGCATTATACAGTTACATAATTACATTCATCACAATTCTCACAGGAGGGAGATACCACAGATTTCCAACTTAACCCAAACTCACTACAGTACCATCTACCTTGTTAAAATTTTACATTTCTAGCGTTGGATGTAGCACCAGCCTCTAGTCCTAAGAGTTGCTGGTGTGTGCCCAGTCCACCCAGCTGTTTGACAGATGAAGGTGGTGCTTGCCACACTGACTCCTCTGTACCAGTACTGTAACAGGTTTACTGTATTCTGTATCTCCAGGTACAATGTTTCAAATGGGTTATGTATTAGGTTTACAGGGTCCACTTTTTAATTTTTTCTTCTAATAGCTACATGTTCATTTCTTCTATTGGTTTTAGCATAGGATGTTCTAATTTTACTATTTTTTTTATTATGAATTTAGAAATCTAAGTACAATACTGTAATACCATTTCAGATTCAATACACCAATTAAGATACGTCCATCGAGACATCAAACCGGACAATGTGCTACTCGATGCTAATGGCCACATACGACTAGCAGATTTTGGATCATGTCTACGGCTTCAGGAGGACGGGACGGTACAGAGCAATGTAGCAGTAGGGACGCCGATTATATATCTCCGGAAATCCTCAGGGTAGGTCATGGCTAATGGTACTTGTTTGTTTTCATTAGTTTAGGAGAGTGAAGTACAGTACGTACTTCAAGTTATATACTGTATTGCCATATAGTCTCAGATATGAAAAGTTTGCTTTGAAGAGATGAGAAATTTTGAGCAGTTTATGTTCACTGCTAATGAAATACGCTTACTTGTTTTCATGCAGTTCATATGATTTTAGATTTTATTTCTGGGCCACTTACTAAAGGCACATGCTAATTAAAATACAAGCTTTGCCAGCTGATAAAAAAATGTTGACAGGACTATTCATTCCCTTAGGCCATGGGAGAGGGACAGGTTTGTTGACAGCAGTCGTTCATTCCTTGATGATTCATGTGCCGTAAGTCCGTGTGATGACTGGACAATTCGGGATAGTTTTAAGAGGCTGAGTGGCTTGAGCAACCCCATAGCTGCTTTGTGCTTCAACACTTACTGGATTAGGATGAAATAATTGACAGACATAAGGATGGAGTTTTAACACTGACTGTGCTGAGTGAGACAGGGCATTATTTACAACTTAATGATTTTAAGTTTACAGTACAGAGTAATGTACTTTGCTTTATATTACACAGCAGTGTATTGTGTTTTTATTGATAACAAGGTAAACCATGTTACTTTGTTATTGCATACTTCTTCTGTTAAACACTGTTATACTTTGCCTAAGCCTTACTCATCTGTCAGTATTTGGAATGTAGACCAGTGTGTGGACATAGTTTAACTGTTACACCTTACCTCTTATTACTTTTTTCACTGGCTCATACACAGGTGAGCTGTACCAACATAAAAACAAAAGAATGGAAACATGGAACTTGGTGCTGGAACCAACAGTGGCTTAATAGTAAATATAGAGGAGCTATTAGGAAAAGTGAATGTATTTTGGCCCAAACGTAACTCGTTACGGAATGCTGAAGTGTATAATTATTTGGAATGCATTTAATGTTTGCCAACTATTTTATTATGTTTTATTCAGTTTATTGGGTGGTCTGGATTATGGGTTGTATTTTTTCCTAAATGTGTAAAGAGTTTCCTTCTGTGTACTGTTAGTAATTGGCATTAGAGAAATCCGCTCTAAAGTATTTTATAAATGAGTTATTGTTGTTATAATTGTTACTTCCACTACATAAGTCAACCTACCAAGTGGTAAGCTCTTGTAATTACACACTTTTAAACTAAAGTAATAATCCTGTGAACAAGGGTCATTTTACATTTGTGAACAGAGGCACCATCTTATATATTGTACATTGGGGTTATTTGAACTTAATCAAATATTAAATACTGTATACTGTACTGCACCAGGAAAGTGGATGATGAATTTTGCCTGCATGCCAATTAATAAGAGTATTAGGAGGGCAAACTCCTTAAAAAAAGAAATAACGTCCCTTAGGTACTGTAGTATGGGACATGTGAAACACAAAACTTAAATTTGTAAAATGTTTGACAAAGACACAACATACCCACCTCTTCCTCCCCAGACTCAGTGCCAGCTGTGTCAGGCATGATAAGGCATATACCTACTCCACACGCTAGAAAAAAATTAATTAACATTCTAGTTTTTTAGTTGTGACTAATATTTTACACGTTTTAGGGAAGTCCAACAGCAAATAGTCTAAAATGTATGTCTACTGTTGTATAGCATATGATTAAACTTTTTGCAAAATAACTTTATGAATAGCTACAAAATTCTATTCTTACAATAATTATATTAACATTTTTCTTTCTTAAAGTTACTGGCAAATAAAAGCTAGACATTTCTTGCCCTGTCATTTCCTCTTTTGATTTTCCTCTTTGAAATATATTTTTACATATGATTTTATGATAGGGATAATATTTGGAGGCTGAGTCCATTGTTTATTGTTTGGCCTCCAAGTACTTACACACACTAGTGTTGCCTCTTATGCACCCAAGCATACTGGTCACTTTCTTGTCTGCCACCCTAGGCAATGGAGGATGGCCAGGGTCGGTATGGCCGCGAGTGTGATTGGTGGTCGTTGGGTGTGTGTATGTACGAGATGCTGTTTGGAGAAACCCCCTTCTATGCAGAGTCATTGGTGGAAACATATGGAAAAATAATGAATCATAAGGTTAGTGTTTTCTTGTTTATCGATTTTGTATGTGTAATGTACAGTAATTTGATATACAGTACCTGTATTTTTATACCAAAGATCCATATTGCTCCATTTACACTAATATGCTAGGTAGTCATACTTATGAGTTTCAAGGATATATATACTATATATATATATATATATATATATATATATATATATATATATATATATATATATATATATATATATACTATATATATATATATATATATATATATATATATATAAAAGGCCATTTTATAAAGTAATTATAATGTGTGTGCAATATACATTATATGTTAAGCATACTAACTAGAATCCAACATAATTATTAGTAGGCTTTTTATTGTGATATTATATCTTCTAGCTGCAACACAAGATACTGTAGCACAAAACATTATACTTAAGATATCTATACAGACAATGCTCTGGCAATGCTCCTGGCTTGTCTTGATGCCATGTTGGTCAGTGTAAGAGTATATAATGACATAAAATTTCTTACAGCTTAGTTACATTTCTAGTACAGATGGCATAAATGAGGGCAACCTGTCTGTGGGTTGCCATGTGGTAACTGGCAGTGGCAGGTCTGTCATAAAGCTTGGGTGGCTCGAGCCATCCCACTTTAAGAAACCATCCATCATACTGATTGTATACACTGTAGTTTACCTTTCTAATTAGCAAAGGGCTTGATGATTAATATGACGCCAACTTTTCATATCATCAACATTTAGGATTACATCCATTTTGCGTGTTCTCCTGTAAAATTTTGTTATATTATGAAATATTGTTTTCTAAATAAACGTAACATATTCATGTGACCATTGTCAAAAAGAATAAACCCATCTGTTGGAGGCTAACAACTCCCCCCTCCCCCTCAGTATTTTTTGGTGTCTGCCTATGATGACTGGATTTAGTAGTTGATTTAAAAAAAAAATCTGACTTGTATGATATGTAAATGTTAACATTAAGTATGATATGTAAATGTTAACATTAAAAACTAATGCTGCTTCATTTTCCTTTTATTGCAAAATCTGAAAAAATGTATCTACGAGTCAAGTCACATACACTGTACCAGGATACTTTCGGACAGTTATAAAATAGTTGAATTTTTTTACAAGTTCTTACTACAGTATAGGTAAACTAAGGCACTAGCTGTCATGAAATATAAAATACCAGGTGGAAGAATTGGCAGGCTGAGGTGGGTTGTGCTAAGAATAGTACAGTACCACCATCTTTCCCTCAACTCATCCCCCTTTCCAAGTCTCATTTTATATAACAGATGAGTAGTAATAAGCTTGTCTCTCTTCTCTCATTAGTATACCTACTCAGAATTATATTTACTTAAGATTATATTTTTCTATGAACATTTTATGTGTACAGATAACTAGTTATGTGGTTACAAATTTAATTATGCTGATGAATGAAAGGAAAGTAACGGTTTATGTGTATGTGTGTGTATTTCTTTTTTGGCATTCTTATATTAAGCAGGAAGTAGTTTATAAATGCAAATAAGAGAAAATACATTTTTCCATCATTTTATTGCAGTACTGTATTACTAAAGACAAATTATTAATTTTTTCCAGAATTGTTTCGATTTCCCAGCTGAACTTGGCTATGATGTTACTGAAGAAGCGAAAGAACTTATGAGACAACTTATATGTGCGTCAGAGTACCGATTAGGAAAGAATGGCATTAGTGACTTTAAGGTATGTGCAGACTTTACTTGTGATTACCAGTAAATGGAAAGTAATTAGATGGTAATTTAGTCAGTTAAAGGGTATTAATACCTTGAATTTTGATGTTTCATCAATATTTAAGATTCTGGGGAGTACTGAAACGGGTAGAAATTCACATACTCCCAGTCGCCCGAGGTGACCAAAATATCATAAGGGCGACAAGATTTTACTATTTTGCTGGTCTGGGATCGCCCGATGGGCGAGTGGGCCGATGACAGTGGTAAGACACACTCAATGTGTATAAGAGCTTCATATAGAGAATACATTATTAATGCTAGTTATCTTAATTGTATCACCGGTATTGCAAGCGGAAGGGATACCTGTTTTCTGTATATAGCACTTTGTATGAAAATGAAAATAAAATATATACACTCAATGATATAATGTAGTGTGATAAAACTGGACAAATGAGTTGGTGCAATGCCACCTAGAACACCAGGCAGGTTCAGGGAGTGTATGACGTCACACACAGATACCACCGCTATTCATGTCGGTGTGTGGAAACCGTGCATTGTAATGAATAAACGCAGTCTAATTATGTAGATATACAATTATTATTGAGGATTTCATTTCTATACATAATATATAAAAGCAATGACAGGGAAATTTAATACCTGAATGTATAATAGGCAAGAATAAAAACAATTGACAAGTGATGAAAACTGCCTTTCCATCAAGAATCACACCATTTATTATAAAAAAAACAATTTCAAGTACATACAGTATTCAGATTATCACCGATACAAACAAGATATCGAAAAATAATAACGCGTACGAAATTTGACAACCAATTCACACATACATTCAAAATCAAATAGTAATTGACTATTGTATTATAGAACAAAGTGAATTACAGTATAAAGATATAGTATTAGAATTTGGTCAAGGTTAAAACCTTTCGCACATTCTTATTTTTTACTCTAACGTTATCATTATTTCTTTTGCATAAATTATATATTATTATTATCCAATTGGGAAGCACTGGTGGAACTACACCAGGTTGCAGTCGAAGTCGTTCCAATTTGTATGTTATAGTTCGTCCAGTGTGTTCATCGAAATAACTTGATAACCGTTGATACTAATTGGAGGATTTAAAGTGCAGTTCACAAACCTAAACACAGCAAGTTCACTTGTTAGTTATACAATATGAGAATTTTTATTGTCTTTTACTCAAAATAAGTGGATGAATATGGTTTACATTTGGATTAGGAAATAATTTTGATATATTGGTACGTTCCAAATAGCTTCATCACAATGGAATGTGCTCCATGCAATTAATTTAGTTAATATGTGATTATTCCAGTGTTGGTTTATGATTTAACATGGTTACTACTAGTAATTAAATGTCACACAGTAAATAGAACTTTGTATAAACCTGGTAAGTGCCAATGTTTGATGTTTCTTGACAAATTGTTTAAGGGCGAGTAAAAATTCATAAGGACTAGTAAATTTTCAAATCTACTAGTCCTGCTGGCGACTATGAAAAAATAGTGAATTTCTATCCCTGTGAAATATTTTGTTCCATGAGTTAATTACTGTAATTAATAATTATATCCCACTTCAGAAACTGTTCATTTTATTGGACTCATGTATACCTTAACTTTATTAGAATCATCCATGGTTTGCGGGTGTTGACTGGGAAACGTTAAGAGACAGCACAGCACCCTACATCCCCGAAGTTTCCAGTCCCACTGACACGAGCAATTTTGATGTTGATGACTCGGAGGCTCGGAGCCAGGATGCCTGCCCCCCTCCTGCAAATGCTGCCTTCAGTGCTCTACATTTACCTTTTGTGGGCTTTTCATTTACTCAGGGAAGGTAAGAATGTATACTGTAAGAAGGATGTTTTTAATGAATAATAATTGACCTCTTTATTATGAAGTGTGGATTAGGGATACATCAGACAGGCTAGATGGTAGATATTTTCACCATCTGGTATCTGGCTGTATAATTTGTACTGTCTGGCCAGATAGACAGATAATTGAAACACTGTATATACATACATACATTTATAGTGAAGTAAGAAAATATACAGTACAGCTGCTCCCCGACTTACGACGGGGTTAGGGACCGACATCCAGGTCGTAAGTCGAAATGGTTGTAAGTCGGAAATGCTTAAATAACACATAGAAAATCGAAAATGGGTGTCTCTTTTTTCTTCTCAGCACCACAAAACACCCACTTTTAAGCTTGCCAGCCATTTTAAAGTGAATTACAATTGACAATTTTGTCTGTGTACTGACTTTGGGACTCGAAAATACGTAATTTGACCAAATTTTGGTACGACTGAGGCAAGTCGTAAGTGCGGGTGGACGTAAGTCGAGTAGGTCGTAAGTCGGGGAGGAGCTGTATATGAAAATGGGTACCAATAATAAAAGGACTCCTCCAGGACCAAGTTGGATTCTTTATTATTAGTCATTTGTTTTGTTTAACTTATTTCTCTAGTTTCACTTTCAAGCTCACCTGTCTAGAGGACAGACATGAGTTACAGCTGTCCAAATTGTGTCGGTGTCAGTTGTCGTCATCGTTGTCTTGGTGGTGGTTGTCCTCCACAAGTTTTGGTTAACCTTTCATATACAGTAGAGTTTCTCTTATGTAAATCAATACACATTTTTATGTAGATACAGTACTAGTCTGGCTGAAACTGGTGTTCATTTAAAGCAGATATTAATGTTTTGGGACTTATTTTTAGAGCTGAGCAAAGGTTTGGTTAAACTAACACCTTTTATGCTTTGCTGCTAAACTCTTGGTGAAAGGTGTTTAGGTTGTGAAAATCGGTAACTGCACTGACTTAAATAATAGATCTGGGACAGAGCGAGCAAAGTCAAACAGGTAGCATAGGTAGCTGCTACAGAATATTGCTTATAAGGATGTTGTGAACTATAAAGCTTCATGGACAAAAATATCAACAAGAAAAGATGAATAGCCATGTAAGTAAAAGTTCACTATGATATTAGACTACTTGCGGTTAGTCCAGCTTATATTTATACTGTATACAGTTTTTAACTATCAGGCAAGTCAGGTAATTGTCCAGACACTACTAAGATTTACCATCTGGTGCATTCCTAAAGTGGATAATCCATGACTTGCAGTTAAAACAGTGGGTTTTCTTTTTACTCATATGCTGCAGTACTGTATAATGGGGTGTTTCTTTATGATATATGTACTGTACACTATATTACTATACCCTTGATCCAGGTATTCACTGTATCTGCTCACCCTTATTGCCGTCCTCATCCTCTCCAGTGTGTCCTCCTATAATGTGTATGGCATTTTCTTCTCTTCATTGAGTTTTAGTAAGTGTTTGTTAGTAAACTTATATTATTGTTTTGTTTTCAGCCAAATCGGTGACAAGGGATGTTTGCTAACCCTATCACTCACTGCGTCGGTACATGTTGGTACCTCATCCGATGTGATATCCTACGAGAGACGGATTAAATGTCTTGAGTCGGAAAACAGAGAATTAGTAAAGATAGCGGATAGACTAGATGGAAGTGCTGGTCCAACTTCCAGTGATGAAGTAAAGAAATTAGTTGATCAGGTGCAGACTCTCACTAAGCAAAATCAAGGTTTGTTGCTTTCTGTATTCTTAGTCTTTTTGTATTATGATGGTCATAGAAAATTAATTACCTGTATATTTTTACTGTACTTGCGAATTAATACATAATTGCTTTCCTGAATGGTACCCTGTGCAGATTTAGGTATTGCATTGTTCTCTTGTAAAATGTTTTAAGTTTTTTTCTGGTTCATTTTGATATTGTAATCTAAGCAATACAGTATTTAATCTAATTAGTTTCTTTACTTTCTATTAGAATTTATTCCTACTCTAAATTTCATTAAACTGGAAATAGTGGAAGAAACATTCAGTAATTAGTTTACCTTTTCTTAAAAATAAAATTGTTCAGTTGTATCTTCTGCTAATATAAAGTCAATCATTCTAAAAAGATTTACTTTCATATTCTCGTGCAGAACTATCGTATGAGATGTCTAGTTTGAAGAGACGAGCGACAGACGGAATAAGTGAGACAGACACAAAGATGAAGGAAATAGACCGTCAATTAAAGGCGACAGCTCAGGAGAAAGAGAACCTTGGAAGAGTGAGTTGAACTTGGTCATAATTCTTCAACAATCCTATTTAGTATGATAATAGTGTATAATCACTTTAATAATACTGTGTCTATCTTTATGTAATTCTGATAACTATAGTCCTACTAATGCAGTGAATAGTTTCTTCTGTTATCAACCATAGGTATAAATTACGTGCAGAATAGTTTATTTATTTATTTTTTTAATGCTGCATGGAAGGTGAAGATAATAAGGAGATATATAATACTGTCATCTCTACAAATACCTGTATTTATGTTTATTGGTTTCAAACTCATCCACTAAGAGTAGTGAGTGCACATTGCATTCCTTTAGTTCATCAACTCATTCATGTAATAAAATTTTTGTATGATGTGATGAGAATTCAAGAGGAATGAATATTTTGAATATTTGTTGTGAAAATGAAAAACCATAGCATTGCACTGTTGGTAAGGTAGTTAGGAGAATGAATGACAATGAGTGGGGGAGAATCTGTTCTTGATTGTAGCCATCCTGGCCTGTTGCTGAACTGTTGCCTGTACTTATTCATGACATATATGAAGCAGAAACTCTTTTTGTAAAGTGTTCAGCTGTCCACTAAATATTATTTAGTTGGCTTTAATTTTTCTTATCAAGAAACATCTCTGTTGTTGGAAACGTGAGGAAAAAATTGCTAATGTGATTGTAGGGTTTTTTGTTTTTCTTGCCAAATTATAGTTGGGTTCTATCCAAAAGGTTGCCCCAGCTTCCAGTTCTGGGTGCTATGCTGGCTTAATGGTAATCTTAACAATATTTTTATGAATACAATAGTAATCTTCTAATGCTTACTTAGAATGAAACAAGTTCACAAGTGTAGAGGAACAAGGGTAAAAGAAATAGTCAGGCTACCCCTCAGAGTGGAGCACCATGGAGGAATGAGGTGGAGTAGGTAATGTATGAGGTAAACGGTTATCTAATTTTGTGTGTCTTTTGTAGGAAATGGCAGATATGGAAGAAAAGTTGAGGCTACAAACAAAAGAACTACAAGATGCATTGACCCAAAGAAAGCTGGCCATGTCAGAGTACAGTGAAGTTTCAGATAAGTAAGTATTATTCATCCATTGTGACACCAGTTATCCTGTTATAAATAAAATTTAATTTTTAAGTCTACACATAATTTTTTCCATGAATTGTTATATTTTTTCTCCTTAGACTAACAGAACTAAGAAATCAGAAGCAAAAACTGTCCAGACAAGTTCGGGATAAGGAAGAAGAACTAGAAACAGCGATGCAAAAAATTGATACATTGAGACAAGATCTACGTAGAGCTGAAAAACTGAGACGTGAACTAGAGGTAGGTGGTAGTGCTTTGTGACAATTACCTGTTTTGTCAAAATGTTATTTGATAGGGGAACTTTTAAGGTCCTGCTTATCATTATGCTTAGTAACTTTAACTTTCCTTTAGCTTAAAATTTTTTGTAATGTAATATACTAATAGTGAATATGAACAGAAGTAATATGATGAAAATAAGTATAATATGGAAGTGGAGAAATAAATATTGACTATAATAGAGTGTGACTGGTGGCAATGAGGTATTTCGGATACTTAGGAGTGGATGTTAGTAGATGGAACGATGAAGTGATTCGATATACTGTACTGTACAGAGTATTGGAGGGAAAGAGAATACTTGGTGCATTAAGTAATCTAAGGAGAGAAAGGCAAAGTAGAATCAAAAGAGGCAGAGATGGGGGATGTTCTAAGTCTTTATTGAGTCGGTATTATTACATGGATGTGAAGCATGGATACATAAAGAAGGTACCAGAAATGGGTGTTAAGATAATTATATAGGGTGAGTATGATGCAAAGAAGGAAATGAGGTAGAGAATGAAGTTTAAGGACATATATTTTGAAGGAAAGGAGGGCAAAATCTTATTTCTGATGTCTCATTCCTCCTGGGAGCTCCTTTCTGAGGGGGTGGCCATGACCAAAGAGCCTCCAGGCCACCCAATCTCTACTTACTTTCTGTGCCTATTGTACTGCATTACCCTTATCCCAACCACCATTTACTATTTAATGTATTATTTCACCTTTCCCTTACTCTGTGTAGTCAGTCTCCCTCTTCATGAACGGAAAGTTCCTAAATGTCATTCTGAGATTTATGAGGTGGTGTTAGGCATGGCTGGGGAAGTAAAGAGGTGAAAGAAAAGGGTGCAAGCTCTCCACACAAGGATATGAGAGGCAAATGGGAGGGCTTTGAGCATTTGTCTGTAAATGTCACTGCTCTGCTGTATAATTCAGAAGAAAGTTGCAAATGCTAGTGAATGAGTTCAGAAGAATGTGTGCTAGGAGAGAATTTATATTGATGTGAACAAGTGATGAACATTATTAAGAGGGGAGAGTTGAAATACTAATTTTGTTTGTTTGAGTGGAGATGGAATGGAAGTAAAGTGTTGAGGGTATTTTGGAGTGGATGTGCCAAACAGTTTAAAAATGAGGGATTATTTGAATAACAGGTTTATGAAAGGAAAGAAAATAAGAAGCACGTTGATGCTGGATACGTGAGGAAGAGGCAAATTAGAAACTATAGAAATGACATCCTTAAAAGCAAAATGTGGTGTGAAGATGGAATATAAGATACTGTACATAAATCTATTGGTGATTTAGAAATGTGTTAAATAGAGACTGGCAAGATCTGCTAAAGTTCTTTTGGTATACAGAGAGTGGGGAGTGAAAGAGTAATGAAAAGTGTTAAAGGCAAAAATGGTGGTAGAAAGGAGACTGGAAGACCAAGGAGATTGACAGACAGGGCAAATGTTGCAGTCATAGGAAGAGGAATAGACTTGTAGAAAGCAGTGGAAAACATGAATTATAGAAGAGCATGGAGTCAAGTGTTTTATGGGATTTTACAGCAGTTTTACCCTTCAGCTGTCAAATAAAGTCATCTGTCAGTAGCCAAAATAAAATTGTCTGGCAGTAGCCAGAATAACATTCTAAAGTACGACAGTCAGCACAAAGGGGTTAAGTGAAAATTTTCCTTCAACCTATTCAAAAGTTAGGAGTTGGTTTTTCAAATCCATCTCCATCATGTACCCCTTTCTTAACCACCTCTAATCACAGCCTGTTGTTTTATTTTCTCTCGTATCATATCTGTTCACCTTAACCTCTGTCTTCCCTCTGATATCCTTCCTCTGATTGGCACATTCCAGGTTCTTTTAATCACCTCCCCCTCTTGTACAACATGACTAAATCGTGTCAGCCTTGCATTTATCAAATTACTGCTAATGCATGTCTCTTACCTTATGCCCTATCATATTTGTTAATCAACCCCTGAACAAGAAAATATTGTTTCTTCATAGTTTATACATTGACAATTTTCTTTTCCATCAGGGTCGGTCCGAGGAGGCTGAAGCAGAGGCAAGTAAAGAACGCAAGTTAAGAGAACGTTCAGAAGAATACACGCGGAATATGGAAGGTGAACTAGAGAAGATGCAACAAAGACCACAAGGCCGAAGTCCATCTCTCAACTCTATGGAGGCTTCACAAGAAGTCACAAGGTGAACTATTTATGATTTCAAAATGTTATATTTTTTGTGCAGTGAAAACTGTCAATCCGATTGTATATGTTCTCAGATCATCTACATAATTCAACCACTAAAAATTCGTCCATCCAAGTTTATATATGATCTGTACAATGAGAGATTCACAAAATTGTATTTTGATAAATGGAAAGTCAGAGTAAAGGATGTATTTATGGTGGATTGAATCATCTGCATAGGAGTGAGTTGTTTGTTACTAAAGGAAGACCAATAATAATAAAAAAAAAGAGTTGGTGCTAGTATGGAAGACCCATACTTAGTAGGTCTCAGTTGTCTCACACATCCTTTGAAATGAGAATGTCATTAATATCTAACACTTTGTATTGACTGATAATACAATACAGTAATGTCATTCATATCTAGTAAATTGAATGATATACGGTTGATCATATTTTTATATTTTCTCCCTTGTTAGATTAAAATCTGACTTAGAACGAGTTTGTGTTGACCAGGAAGAGAGAGCACAGCAGCAGGCTTTACGCCACAGCCATGAGATGTCTGCTATGAGAGACCAGCTCTCAGAAGCAGAGTCTGCAAAGAACACACTCCAAAATGAGGTCAGATAACATTATCTTATTTTTATTGTTTAATGAGAAAGTGAAAATTCTTCTTGATATCTATTATAATTTTTCTTCTCCTATAATTGTATAGTATGGATCATGGACATTGACACATCAAAGAAGTGAAGTAATATGGAGGGTAATTCAGTATAAATATGGGAAGTAACAGGAAAAAGCCAAGATGAGATAATTGCATTAAACTTCATTTAATACCCTATACGGTATAGTATAGTCCATCAACAATATCTTTTACAGTCACCAATGTCTCTTTTCTGCCATGCACTTGGTGCTCGTACCTTCTTAGTGAACTCTCATCCATATGACCTAAGGAATTTTTGCTTCCACTTATTGTTTTCCATTTGTTCCATACTCTGTCAATTCTCCAACTCCCATAACTGCATCTCAAACTGTCCATCTCTACTGCTTTCCGTATCATGACTGAAACACCTGAGTTTTGCATGTATTGTATATGGTAGTGTTGAAATAAGTACTCTTTAATGAGATTCACAAGTGCTTATAATGACCCCAGGTGACTAATAGTTACTCGTTACTCATAATGACCCCATTTATGGTGAGTAGGACCTACGATATGTGCTTCACGGGCATGAATCTAATTATCCTAAATTAAGATTTATTAAACTAAATTCTCTTTATAATTTTTTTGAAGGTGGCTGTGTTGACAAAGAAAGTGGAGCAACTACGTTGTGACCTGGAGAAGCGTTCTGAAGAACAGGAAGACTCGGTGATGGATGTGAAGCGTAGACATGACCGGGAAAAGGCAATGCTTCTTGATGACAATAAAAAACTATTAGGAGATGTGGAAAGGGTAATACTTCATCTGCATTTTTTCTTCACATTCCTTGTTAAAATCATCAATAGTACACTCTGTAACTTGAAAAAAAAAAAAGGTTTATAAGAAGAGTTTGTAATTACTGAGAACTTCCCTAAAATTATGTACATTTTCAGCTCACTGAGAGTTTGAACAGAATGCAGAATGAGAGGCGATCACTTGAAGAAGAGTATGATGATCTAAGAAATAAAAAGGAGTCCATAGCCCAGTGGGAGGCACAGATCACAGAAATTATTCAGTGGTGAGTTAATCTTTATTTTACTGTAGATCACTTGTGTAATTGGTTGGGGATATGATGATGGGAAAAAGTATATACAATATTGTATATGTATGTCTAGACCCTGCTGCCACTTGGCATCACAAAAATTGTGACCATGTCCCAGGTTGCTCATCTGCCTAATTTACACACAATTGCAGGGTCTCAATTGTTTCTCTTATTATTGACAACAACATACATATATTGTTTCTCACTTTTCATTTTGTTTTCTTTTTTTTTTCTTTATGGTTCTTTATTATTATTATTATTATTATTATTATTATTATTATTATTATTATTATTATTATTACATTTTTGCCTCCCAGGCCCTGATTTGGGTCAGTGACCTGTGCTTGGGTGGGCTAATCCCCATAAAAAAAAAAAACTCAGAATATTGTGCACTGTGTGGTTGCTCAACAAATAACCCAAGGGCCAATGGAGCATAGATCCTATCAGAAATACACACCTAAATTTAAACTTTACCAAATTGGTTCATATGCTATAGAACACCAGCTTGTAATCAATATAGGAGTTCCTTTGTCACTAGCAGCAGTGCTAGGGGATCCTCTTACTGAATGCCTTCAGCTGAGATCTTTGCTCCAAGTAATAATTTACATTTTCTATATATAAAAGTGTGCAAATTATATCTTCTCTGATTATCTTTTATATTTTGTATTGTAAAGGTTTTGCAAAACAGTTGCCAACTTGTTCCTTATTTGTCAGGGTGAGTGATGAGAAAGATGCCCGTGGTTACCTTCAAGCTCTTGCTACACGAATGACAGAAGAACTTGAGACCCTAAAGGTATCAGGAGTTGTTGGTAGTGGGTCTTCAGTCTTAGCACCTCCAGAGAAGAACTGGCGGAATCGTCGTTCTCAAAAGTTAGACAAAATGGAACTGTTGAACTTACAGTCATCTCTCAACTCTGAGATCCAGGCAAAACAGGTCATATCAGAAGAGCTAAGCAAAGTTCGTGCGGATTTGGTCGCAGCACAGAAGTAAGTAACATTAGGTGTACTGTATTTTCATCCTGATTGATATTTTAGTGGATCCAATTTTGGTAAGGAGTGGAGTGTTTCACCTTTAGATGAGGAGTGAGAAGATTAGAGGGTGAGGAGTAGTAGTATAAGGGTTAGAGGATGTGGACTGAGGCGATTGGAGGGTGAGCAATAGGTTATTATGTTAAGAGGGATATGTTCAGTAAAGTGAAGGTTAGAATTTTGGACAAGATATGCTTGTGGAAAGAATTAATGTTGAATGAAGTGAATTCAGAAGAGGCAGGGGAAGATTACAGTAAAGATGGAAAAATAAAGTAGAGGAGGAGGTTTCTGAAAGCACTCTTGGTATGGAAGAGTGGATTGAGATGCTGTTTGTTGTGGATACTTTTAAGAATTTATATATTGATGAAATAGATTGCAGTGTATATATTGAGTATTAAATAGGACTTTACTGAAGTGTAATATCATCTGACACTGGAGCTTGTAATCCTAAACTTTCCTGAATAACTTTTGTTCTTTCTCACTCAAGTGAATAGCCTTTATACTTTCAGTAATTGTTGAATTAGTTTGTGCGCAAGTATTAACAGATTGGCATAACCAGTGAAATTTTCCTTCACAGGGATGTCCGGGAATATAAACAACGATACGATACCATGTCTCGAGAAAACATACGAAAAGAGAAGCAAGTACGGGATCTTCAGACTCGACTAGAAGCTGGTGAGGGCTGTAAGTATTGTTTTAGACTAAGGGGAATTAGGACTATTTATTTTTATTTCTATATTTATTTTTTATTTATTTTATTATGTAGGGGGGTTAGGTGATGCTTGGGGTGGATGGGCTGAACTTGATGTGCGTGAGTGTAAAGGAGTTAATATTTTGTGTACCTCGGTAATATTTCCTTCCTTGGTGTATTACAGTGTTAGAATTGGTGCCGGTCATGAAGACTTTGACAAAAATCAGTAGGGAAGTTCACTTCACCATGAGGCAGATATAACTTCTCTCACTGTGATATAACACCAAGAAGTTCCTTATATATAGAGTAAAATAAGTAATTTATTGCTGCACGAACAAATTAATTCCAGGAGACTTACGGTTTGTTAATTAGTTGGTTATTTTCTAAAAAGTTCGAAGGATGTTAATGATTTTTCACATTTCCTGAAAACACATGTAAAAATTCTATATCCAAATACACTGTTCCTGAATTTACAGCAGACTGGTTGTTACTGAACTTCCTCTGGAGATGCTTGTCAAGATCTCTCTCATTCATCTCTACCTGCCCTATTCTCTTTCCCTTGCTCATTAAGGAGTAATTCATGCATTTATTTTACATGTCTCGCCAATGAAAATTATTAGTAACTGAAACTCAAATTTGTACCGAGATCTGTCATTACAAATAATTACAATATTAACATTAAATAACTACTTACTCATGAGGAATAGCTTCATTCCATTAATTTAAACAACACATGATTTCAGTATTTTAAGGAGTTTTGGGTCAGTGGAGGAGGATGGGAACCCTCATGATGAAAGTGTTATTTTGTGCTTTGTGAAACAGTTAATACAATACACAAGTTTCCTCCAGTTTTCATAATTTTCTCTTGTGTTTAGTAAAGTACAAACAGTACAGTTTATAATTCCTCTCAGTGCATTGATTAATGTATTTTCTCATTGGTTATTTATCAGCATAGTATTGAATGGGAGAAATAATTTAGAGTAGTGATAGAAGAATATAGGTAAATCTTTAAAAAATGCAAATGAATCGGTTTATCTGCTTTTTGTAGTGCTTCATCATCATCTCCTTTTTACGGTCACTTTCCACACTTGTACAGTACTGTATAGGTTTGCCGTGATTACTTGATGACATGGTGTTCCAGTTGCCATTTGGCAAATTTGAAGCAAGTTTTATGGCTAGATGCCATTCTTATTATCAATCAGTTTTATAAAGTGGGAATTGGTCATTATATGTAGGACTTGCAAATGCTGTCTTAGCTGGCAAGGCAGTTGCCGTTCTCCGAGATAATCGAAGATTACATGGAAACTTTTTTTTAATGGTGTAGATCACACTACAGGAAGATATTATATCTTCACTGTTCATAACTATAAATTTATTAAATGGTAATGCAATGATTTTCAGGAGGTTAAAGAGGTTGTGTTGTGTTAGACAACAACCTCAGTCTCTGGATTTGTAATATTTAGTTTGGAATATGACAAAGTGAATGCTCATTTTATTTTATATAGCATAAGAAAAAATATTTGTTAGACATGGCACAGGGTATATGTAGGTACTATAGTAGTTTGAAAAATTTATTGTTTTTTATTCTGGAGATAATTTTTTGAAACAAAAAGTACTGTACAAGTATACTGTATAGTATACTGCACAGTATACTGTACTGTCAGAGCTTGAGTACTTATGGAAACTTCATAGGACATGGTGAATATTATTAACAATATCCTCTTAACCACTTGGATATCTCAGTATCATGGTACATTATCATGTGGTCTAATATAGGTAAACAAAACAAAAAGTTGAAGGTATAAAGAGGGAGGATTTTCTACGGGCTTTCAGCTTGCACTCACCCATTAATCTGTGATAGCACACTCAATTCTCAACACCATGCTCTATTGATATCAATGCACCTTTAAGTTTTGCTTTACAAATGTGTGTTTGAAACACAGTATATTGGCATTGTTCATGTGCACATTTTGCTTGAAATTAGTATCTGCAAACCCAATGTTGGCCACTGAATTTTAGCTAGATTTTCTTTAATTCTGTGTGAAATGTTAGAGATCTGTACTTTCTATTTTAATAAGTATTCATTTCCCAAGAACAGATCCATGGTATCCTGCTTGAAGGAAATTTCCTGTAATTTGATTGCAACCAGACATTCCTGGATATTTTATTTTACCCCACTGTGTATGTAAGGGGGGGGATAATGATTTGGTCTTCATCATCTGTATGACCTTCCATACAAATGTACAGTCAACAAAAATATTTTCTGCGCCCCTGGGTCTGACGGCCTTTGCGACGATCACTGACCGAGGCCATTTTAATTTGGTAAGGTTGGAACTTCTGATTGTGTGATGCATTGTGTAACCAATACGATGTATTCTGTATCTCACATATAGTTAATACAGAGAAATTAACAGGAATCACCCTCGTAAACGGGTTTTGTTCAGAATTCTTGGTCCTGTGTGTTATATTGTATAACACTAGAGGTGCAAAATTGTTTTTTGTTTTGCTTTTTGACTGTACCTGTCATTTATATTACAATACACAAAAAGTGTTCAGCATAGATCATTGAAAGTTGTAGGATTATTATATGTATGTGCATTCTGGATTACTAGATTAGATTTACAGACTGTTTGATTATTGCATTTTACTAGTTATCCTTGGTTTTTAAGGTTGGTATAATACAATCAGTGGGAACACATTTGTTTAAGAAATTCAGATAAAGTTTGTTATGTGGGGAAGATAAGCATCTCTTACTTATTTTTTTCATATAAATTTAACGTGGAAAGAGTTAGTTGATGTAGCTTTTCTCTCACCAACTGGAGAGCTTTTGACAGTTTGTGTAGTACAGTATTTTTGTTCTTGTTTTTATTGCTGTACTTGGGTTATTCTCCTCTCTTCTCATGCTGTCAGATGGTTTTTACTCAATCCTGGTGTGGAAAACCTTCGTGGAAACAGGAAGTCTTGATTTGACAAGAATGGGTACATTTCTGTTCTTCATATTGCCTTCCCAGGAGTAACAGTTTTCAAGTGTATCCATAAGTAAGCCTGTTGTAGCAGGTGGATATTCAGTACAGTACTCCTATCATATTATTTCTTGTCATCACCAGAGATACCTGTTGATCCACACTGCCTAATAAAATGTAGAGTGCCACTCTCCAAGAAACTGGAGATAAAATTAAAGGCTTTTAAACCTTGTGATTGAAACACCAGGCATTTTTAATGTGGCATCTAATGTCTTTGGCCTCATTTTTGTTAATTGTTGTTGGCTACAGTGGTTGTTGACTGTTAATCCATCTTCTCAGTTTGTGTTAGAGGATTTACTTAGATATTAATCCCTATATATACACATGGATTATCCTTCAGAGTGATAGTTTTGATTAATATTAAGGGATAAAAGTCATACATTTAACACCGGGTATGTTGCTGCTTTCAATTTTGGGGGGGGTTTTGGCATCCATCCTGTGTGTGCCGTGTGTCTAGTAATTTGCATGTATAGTACATTAAGACTGGGTGCTTGAAATTGATGTTCATTCTTGTGATAAAGTTAGCTTTTAGCCTGTCGGCTTCTTATCTTTGCTCTAATTTAGGTGTGGCCAAATTTTATTTTTAATATTTAGAAAGTATATTGTTGTGTCTTACCTTGTGAACAAATAGTTGTTGTGGCAATGAATGTTTTCCTTGTCCATTTATCTGTCTATCCACTTGTCACTTCTGTTTCTGTGCAATACCTTGATGAATCTTGATAGACATGGTACACTAATTGGCTTGTAAAGGAAGTTATCTATTAATATCTAGATCAGGATGATGTAAGTCAAGTCATTAATAACAAAAGAGTTTTTTACTCACATGTGTGTGATGCTTCTTTTGATGTCAGATCACAACACAGCCATGTGTAGTGGCACAATTCTTCTCAAACATTTTCTCTAATTACATGAAAGTTTAAACTTCCTACATTTCCTAATAGGATGAAATTGTTGTAAGAGCCTCACAAGAAACTAAATGAATTTGTCCTAGGCAGGTAGCATGTGAAAAAAGTTATTCACTCTTTCTACAGTATATGACTCGAATGCCTTATAACTTCATGTTATGGGTTATATTGTTGTTGATAATGCAAATTAGCTGAAGGGAAAGTTGTTGTAGAAGATATGTAGTTGTCTCAATGTTCTTCAACTAATTTTCATAATTCTACAAGGATATATAAATTTGTTTTATCATGTTCTTAACAACTTTTGATGTACAGGTACTGTCATTTTTTTCACATCTGGTTGGTTAGTCATTCCTGGTTCTGTTTGATAATTCAGTGGCTCAGACATCTTTTTCACTGCTGGGCTAATTTACCAGGGCTTTGTTTCTCTGGGCCTCACATTATAGGGATCTGTTGTTTCAGAATGTAATTGTGGCTTATTGGTAGTGAAGAGTGCCTGTTCAGTAATGTGAACTTGTGTACTGCTAATAAAGTGTACCTGCTTACCTCTATTTGTAATAGTGTACTGCTAAAGTAATGTTGGTTTACATGATGATGAGTTCCAAAGGCTTTGGTGGCATTTCACCACCTTTTGTTGGCTGACAGACACAACTTTTCCTTAAAAATATGAAGTAGTGTGGAAGACTTTTGATTTGTCTCATCTTCTCTGTCCACCAAGAGGCAGCTGTAAATTATTTAACTAATAAGGTTTTCCTCCCCAAGGAAAGTAAATTTTTTCCACTTTTGAAATACAGTCTGTGCATCATTCTTATGCTTCTAAGTTAAAAACATTAAGATTTAAATTAATATTACATTGGTTCAGTGCTCTTTTATGCCCTGCTATAGGCTAGGGCATATTAGTTTGTTTGTCATTCCACCTGACCACGTGTGTGCCCCTGCTTCCATCCTTCCCTGTCTTGTAAATACAATGTTTCATGGCTGGGTTGATAGGGTATTGACTTAACTTATACCATAGATTACAACATACAAAGGTCTGAAAATTACAGATTTTGGGAAGTCAGCGGTTAT